TATGCTCTTTCGATGTCAGTTGGACGATAGTGAGGACATCTGAGAGTGACATGACGAGTGACATGAAAGAGCAGTCTTATACTCGTATCTCTTCGGTGTAGGGGAAAACAATTATACTCGTGTATCCAAATGGAGTATTGAGAGCATTTTATATAATATACTCTTCGAATGCATGGAAGAAGTAGTTATACTCGTTATACTCTTCGGAGTTAGGGGAAAAACAGTTATACTCGTGTAGTCCAATGGAGTATGAGGAACAGTTTTACTGTATCTCTTCGGAGTGACTAAAGAAGTTAGTTATACTCGTATACTCTTCTGGTTAGGGAAAAACGTTTATACTCGTGCGTATTTTTTCCAATGGAGTATTTAGAAGAGTTTTATCGTCATACTTTCGGAGTGACATGAAGGAAGCGTTTGATAATGTATGCTCTTCGGGAGTGAGGGAAGAACAGTTTATACTCGTGTTATCTAATGAATTTGATCGTCTTTTACTTGGCTTGTTTCGCCGTTTATGACACGAGTTAATTAATGCTGGATTTATTTTGAGTCCGAACTGCAAATCCAGTGGGATGTGAGACCCTTTGATGGTACGGCACAGTAGTTTGGATTTTTAATACTCTTAGATCCCTCCTGATCTTTACAGTGTGGTAGCTCGATTTTGTCATTGACGAGGAGTATTCTAAGATGCTGGAGCATTCCAGTCTCTTCGAGGAATACTCCTTTTGAACCTCGGATCGGGAGTCACCTTACCCCAGTGATGCAGATGTCGTCGGTTGGCTTCTCTCAGGTTTCTTTCTTTAAGAAGTGTTCAGCTTGTTCACGCTATTCAAATCTTTCAATTTTGGATGGTAACGCCCCCCAGAGCTTCCAGGACAATCGATAGAGAGATTATTGTGGCTGTTTGCAGATAAACTCCTCTGTAACAGGATCTCTGCATTCATTGCCTTGTACGGAAGCTTAATAAAAATTACGACTGGACTCCCCGTCTTTTTGTTTTTCATCAGGAAGGGTTCGATCTGACAGTTCGGTGTCAATCATCGAGGAAGTTTGCTGAGGAACAAATTTCTATGTCTACCAGCAATTGATGCATCCCTGCTTGAGCATCGTACCAACGAGGTCACCCCGGAAGGGTGCCAACGAAGGACCGGACATTAAAGCCTCGTCTTCCAGAGATCATGCCCAAATTGGAGCTTGAATAAATCAAGTGTTGAATAGCGAGCTGCTTCTGCGTCAACGGTGGTGAAGTTAGATCATGTTGAATTTGCGGGTACGGTATTGATTCCATTGCTTTGGATAGGGACAGGATACCGTCTTTTCCACTTCTGAGCGTCATCAAGCGTTATTTTTGTTTTCAAAGTCTTTCTTCTCGTCATCGTCACGTCTTCATTTGAAGGATCGTTGAGGAGAATGACGTTAGACCACCCCCTGTAAGAGGCCATTGAACCACCCCCAATATCGTTATTGGGACGGTGTGTTATACCATTCTGTTTATTGCTAGTTGGGAGGTATCAGGCAAAATGACTTATCCACTTCTGGACTCACTATCATTGCCAAATTCTGTAGTGGGAGGGTTGTAGTTCAGGCTCGCGACTGGACTCAGGAGGTGAGGTTGTTTGAGTTAAGCAACCTTCATTTCTTGAATAGCTAATCCATCTCTGTCTTCATCTCAGCTCTGATTTCTTACGTTGCTCGCTAGAGCTCTCTTGAAGCATTTGAGCAAATTGATCAGAAGGTGATCGTGATACCTTCTCTGGTTGTCCCTGCTAGCATTGTATCATCAGAAGATGCAGACAAGTGTCCGAGTAGGACGATTCATCCTCGCGAGGATATTCCTCTTGCTTACTTTTGTAATCTCTGTGTTTTGATGCTCCTAATTGGAGTCGAGCATCCTTTGAGCAATTCTTTGGATTGACCTTTCCTCTCGGGGAAAAGTCGGATTTGCAGTTTTTGAATGCCGCTTAAGACTTCCTTTTATCAGCCACGTTGATGGTGACTTCAGGGAATTCATCATCTTGGGCAGCTGATTTTCTTTTGCGGCAATGTCTCGGTTTAGGCTTCGATAATACAGAGACTCTTCGTGGGATGGCT